TATAATTGGCCTTGATAATTAAAAGGCCAAAATCAATCACTGCCTCCACTATTCTATCCCAACACGCCCTCCGTGTCATGGCTAGCTATGAAAGCTCTGTCCACAAAGAGAGTGTCATGTCATGCCTACCATCAGGATGGTTGGTTAACTTTGAACCCGTTGATACCCCTTGCCCGAAAGAAAAAATGACATAAGGCTTGAGATACTTGCATTGATCAACCGATCATGTAGCACCCGATCCTCTTTCAACAAGATTGCATCCTTAGACAGGTGGCATGGAAGGTACATGATCCATGACGGACAGCCGGTCAGCTACTCATGCCATGAAGTGGCATGGTGTACTCAAACGAGCGTAAGGGGCTCCATAGACCCAGTCATCTAACTCGTTGTTTACCAGTCATGGCAAAGTCTTCACATCGCAAGTGTTACAACTCTATTTTTTTTAGCCATGATTGGCTTTTTTCTCTTATTTTACTAGTATTTATTTATTTATTTTAATATAGCAAAGAGTGACATGCATCACTGTTCTCCATACCCTTTGGCCACCACAAACGTGCCAAAGGTGTATACCCACTGCCAAGTCCATGGATTAAACCAGACAAACCATCCATAGACCACATGTTTACTCTCCTTAGAAAGAGATGGCTCCTTATCAGTTGGTTTTGAATTTCCCAACTCAACGATGGATTGTGCCCGGTCCACTTGTCTTCCCTTGGTGGTCTTGTAGGGGGTCTCACGATCCTCTACATTAGCCACCTTACTAGACATGTTGGGTTGATGTTGAACCTGATGTGCTTGTCTCGTTTTTGGTGATACTCTAGGTATTCTTAACTCATTGGGCTCATGAAAGAGACCACGAGTTTTTATATTCCTTGGTTCACCGCAGCCATGCTTGTTCATCCCATATAGCTAGGAAAAGAAATGGTTGGACTCAACGAATCAATGACCACCCTTGTGGCCAACATGGCCCTGTTCAACCCTTACGCCATGCTGACTTCTACACGTAGCACATAACGACTTCTGGTTCTTTGTGTGACCATGTTTGGTTATTGTATGCCGAGATGTCTTATTCATGCCCCCTTGTCTGTCATTCATGTTTGGCATGCCATGAGGGCTGTTAAGCATGGACTTGCTTCTTTGTCCATCCATTAACACCCTCTCATACTTAGAAACTTTTTGAATAGCTTGAGTGTGTTGCACACTCATATAATTTTCTCTTACTTGTTTCTTCATGGCCAGTGGCATGCCCCCCTGTTCACTGGTTGGAGACATGCCCCTCATACCATTATTCATGGTTGTTGACGTGCCCCCCTTGCCAGACTTAGCCATATTAGTATGCTTACTAAAAGCATGTGTGGCTTATTAGGCACACCTGTCACCCCACTGCTTGTGGTTGGTGACATGTCCTTCATTCGTTTCTTAATGGTCGATGACATGACCCCTTGTCATCTCCACTAGCCTTCCCATTACGAGGTGACATACATGATATAGACACCAAGACAGTTTCTGGTGCTTCAAATGTTTCTCCTATTGATATAGACACCAAGACAGTTTCTGGTGCGTCAAATGTTTGGTTGTGAAACCCTTTTCCCGTCTTCGTTTCTCCTATTGATAGCCACTAGGAGTAACTGCCTTGGTAACTGCTAGCCGGCTTGTTGCCCCAACCGCCTTAGGGACCAATTTTCGTTGCCTTGGTTGCCAATTGGTAACCGTTGTCTTGGTCTTCACCTCCATTGCCTTGGAGCTCCTTGACCCGTCTTGTTGAATGGTTGGTATCCATTGCCGTTACCTAGTTGGGTGGCTACCTCAGTTAGGCACCATGCCTTAGTCGAATTTCTTGTCTTGTTGGCTTGGCCCCCTGTTGCCTGGCCACCAAGTCAGTCTTGTTGGCTTGATACCCCCTTGGGGTCATGGTACCCTGTCGCCTTGCTTGGCTGCCAAGCCTGTCATGTCGGCTTGGTACCTTGTAGGGGTCTTGGTACCGAGGCCACCTTGCCCGCCTAGTATCCCCTTAGCTCCATACTTAGTCCATTTTCATATATTTTTTTCATATCTTTTGGTATCAAGCCTGCCTTGTCGTTTGGCCCCCTTAGTTTTTGGATGGCTTGGTACCCGGTCGTTTGTCACCCCGTTGTGTCGCCTTGTTTCCAGACTTAGTTTTTGGGAGCCAAATTTCATACCAAGGGGTGGAGGCATCGTCCGACAATGGGGTCCACGGAGACGGGTTGGCCATCGTATAGAGAAGAAGGGGTTTGGCCACTTAGGCCCAAAAACCCCACCCAACAAGGCCTAGCTAGCTCTTTTAATTATTAATGTTAAGCTGACCTTATAAATCCATTAAATCTCTTGTAGTTAATAGATGTGGTACAAGCTAATTTTTTTTTGGTAAACAATTTATAATAACGATTTCACATGTATTCAACAACCCAATTGCAGACATCCATGTCCATAGTCGTTCTATAATAATTACTAGGACGGGGATGTCGCAGTGTCATTTTGCAGCGGCAATACGGTGCGTAAAGTAGGTTAGCAACATAATTGGAAGAGAAACATCGATAGTTTGTTTGTTAGCAGCGTAAAGTAGGCTAATTATAGCAATCAGACATTAGCTGCAACCATCTAACCCGTATATATATTGACAGCTGCTACAAACATGGCAAGGAAAGAATGCGCGGGTCAGAAAAGAGAAGTAACAGTCACGCAGAATAGAGTAGATTTTAGTGAATAGTAATCCCTATTTAACTTTATATATATTGACTAGGTGGTGATGTCGCATCTTGTCGCAAGACGGAGATTGCCTATGCACATGTGTTATGTGACCCGTTATGGTGTTTTGTTAGTATTATTAGTCTAAAATTATGTTTTTGTTAACAGTTTTGTTAGTAATGTTGACTTGACAATATCATATTGACTGAGAAGAGAAATATGCCGGTCAATATTCAATTTAAAATTGTTTGAAAATTTTGGCTAATAAATGATATTTACCTAAACCTAAGTAGACTCATTGATTATGGGTAGGGTATGAGTGACGTAGATATGAGTTTGAAAGTTTGTAGATGAGTTTGGGTAGGTTATGAATATTTATTTACATAATCTTAATGTGTATGAGTTGGGTATGGATACCAATTTATTCGAGGGTGTTTTAATTACACATACAAAAATTAGACCTATTTGTAGAAATTCAGAAGTTAAGGTACCAAAATGTCATACACAAAAATTTTAGGTACTAAAATGTAATATTCCATCAATATTTTGAGGACTTATGTGCCAAAAAGGTAAATTTAGGTTATAAATCTAAAGATCTAATAAGTTTAGGTACCGAACTGTAATTTGTATAGTTGAGGCTTAATTCCTTTATGGTGACGTATGTAAGATGATAATTATTTAATTTTTTATAGAAAAATGGAAATTATTATTTGATATGTAGATATCTAGTCAAACATTCCATGTATAATTGTTGAAAAAATTCTACCCCGGGTGAAAAAGAGAAACTTTAGAGAGAAGCAAAAGGAATACAAATTGGAACTCGCTTAAAATTTTACGCCTTCAAATCCCATAGTGGAAAATGATGACTTTCTAATAAGTAATAACCATATATATTTATTTTTAATTGGACTCGACATTGAGCTGAAAGGGTTAGTTCATGGTTCAATTATTAATTCTATAGACTGTTGGTAAGTTGTGTATAGACTCGTTCATACTTGTGATTAGAATACATAAAAATTGTATACTAATTAGGGGTAGATGAAGAGGGCAAAGAAAGAAATAAAGAAAGAGTTATGGAAGACGAGTGAAAAATGAAATAAAGAGGAAGTAGATGATGGAAAGGTTTTGACCAATTCTTTTAGTTGGCCGTCAATACAACATTCAACAATCTTCACCGTAGCAATTTATTGACACTTGCTAATGTAGATGTCGCCTGGTTTGTTACATGTAGTTAGTAGAAATTTGTTTAGTACCCCGTAAATGTACTAAATAAGTTTATAAAATCCCTCTTACAATATTTCAAAGTCGTCTCTCCTTTATCATTTATTTAATATTTCACGTAATGAGCAGATATAAAATGGTCGAATCTTCCCATAGAGTTGAGTGATACAACATCTTGTGTGGTACAAACTATTTTTTTTTTAGGGTGGATTTGATTCATGGATTCAAGTGAAATCTAAACATTGAACCAATATGTAAATTTACAGAAATTGTAGTTATCAAAATCTCATAAAATTTTGATACCAAAATATAATTTTTCAATGATTTTACATTAAAATTAAATTGGGGTATCAAAATATAAAATGTGTATTATAATGACTAAGTTGTAATTTAATTAAATTTAGGGTATCAAAATGTAAAATACACCACTGCCCAATCAACTTGCAAGTTTAGGCAACCGTATACCGACTTCAAATTTATATATATTAATGTGTATATTATCAATCGAAATAGCAAGAGAAACTGGAGTGGCCACCACCACTCACCTAAAGCGTAGAATTATTCAACCAAACAGATTAGGTCCCATTCATGAAGTTTCGGGGTTAATTGTATGGTTGGTCACTGGGATTACAAAAAACGTTCATATTTGGTCACTGAAAATATTTAAATCCAATTTTGATCATTCAAATTAATCTAATGGTTCAAGTTTGGTCACTCTCCGTCCAACTCCGTTAAATTTGTATGATGTGGCAGTCAACCTTCAAAGTTGACCGTTAAGTCAGTGACGTGGCAATTAAAAAATAATAAATAAAATATATTTTTAATCTTCTACCATTTCCAACTCATTTTCAATGTAAAATAAAACAAAGAAAAAAAAATATTATAATACAAAGTATTCTATTTCTACGAGAAAGAAGAGCAGACCAGGACAAGCTTCTCTGTCCCTGTTTTCCCCACCACCTCTGAATATCAAATCTTACTGCTCACTCGGCCATGGAACACCATCCCGTGGAACACCACCCAAGTGAGCGGCCTGCTCATCCTCCCATCACTGACTTAACGAAATTTCAGCCATGGAAGACACACTCCACGACTACCCAATCGTCTCCGTCGACGTCGAATTCCCCGGCTGCTTCCGCCCGACGCCGCGACACGCCGCCGAGGAAGTTCAATTCGCCGATATGAAGCACAACGTCGACATCACCTATTTGATTCAATTGGGCGTCAACTCTTTCAAACGAAAAAGACACCGTCGCCGCAATCTTGCAGTTCAACCTGGAGTTCGACCTGGACCGAGACTTGCACGCCTACGAATCCATCCGGTTCTTGAAAGCCCACGGCATCGGTTTCGAGAAGCTGGAGATCAACGGGATCGAGCGGATCCAGGTCGGGGCCGCGTTCGGTAGGCTGATCGGGAGGAGGAGCAGGTCGCTCAATTTGTAATTGTAATATGTTTTTGTTTTATTTGTTTTACTTTACTTTACAAATGAGTGGGAAATGATAGAAGGTTAAAATTTATTTTATTTTTTATTTTTTAATTGCCACGTCACTGACTTAACGGTCAACTTTGAGGGTTGACTGCCACATCAGATAAATTTAACGGAGTTGGACAGAGAGTGACCAAACTTGAACCATTTAACTAATTTGAGTGATCAAAATTGAATTTAAATATTTCTAGTGACCAAACATGAACGTTTTTTGTAATCAGGGTGACCAACCATGCCATTAACCCTTAAGTTTCGGCAACTTACATTTCTTTCTTTTCTCTTGTCCCTTCTCTGCATGCAGACAGAAGATATAACAGGTACTGTGAGAAACCATATGATTTCCCTCACTTGGGCACTTTCATTTCACAAAATGAAGATATTAGATCCACAGCTCACATACTCAACATGGAAATGGATACATATATTATATGTTGCATTCAAACTTCTCTCATTGTGGTACAAGCAACCAAATGACTGCAACCCAAGCCACATTACAACGAAACGCTCAGCTTAATTACCTCCTTTGGAAAAAGCATTGGGGGGCCAAAGGAATTTTTTTTCTTTTTTCTTTTCCTGCTTTTACAATAACAACATGCCACCTACCAAGCAGGCTATAAAGGACCCGATTCAAATAACACATAATCCAATTCGCCTGCTTCATCAACTCTTCTTCCTCCATTGGTGACTTAGATATACATACTAACCTACAAAGATCTGTTGACTATTACAAGGAGGGACATACAATCCACAAATTACATGATATGAACTTATACGTGGATAGACACCATTATATAGAGAACATAAAAGGAACTGTACAGAAGGGTGAGGGAGGTTCAAAGTTTGATCCCCTTGATTGCCTGCATCATCATCTCCCTGATGGCACCAGAGCTTTCTCCTCCAGCTCTTTCGGAGATGGGGCGCTTGCTATAGGAACCATGTGAGGTGAACTTGGCCGATTCGAGGGAGAGAAAGGTGACATACCAGGAATCTCCTTCTCCTGTTCAAGGAGAGCAGGCTTTGTATGATCCTTCTTCGGTGTGTATGTGAAGTTGAGATCTCTGTTAGAAGCTAGGGCAACCAGCTCTTTCTCCTCTAACCCTTTAACTGGACCAAGGCTGCACCGATCCGGACTATGCTTTGCCAGTGCATCTCTAAATTTCTTGATCTGAAATGAAAGATGCATTCAGGGCTACTGTCTATGATGATTAACCAAGCTCCTGACGATTCTAAATCCGGTTCCTAGAGGCCTTTAAACGATGGGAAACAAATAAGACAAGGAAATAGAAAACTGAACTAACCGTGGCATTGGTGCAGCTAAAGCTGCATAGCCGACCCTGCGCTCCACGGTAGAAGCGGAAGAAAGGCAAAACATGAACGTTGAGACTATAACACATGGACTTATGCTCCTCAAAATTGACATGAAGAAACTGTACATCTGGATTCAGCTCTGCTATTTGACAAATCTGCAAAACACCATCCCAGATTTCCATCCTTTAGGTCTCAAACAACTAGGGTAAAATAACACAACATCCATAGTAAGAAAATCATGTGTACCTACTACCTTGGGATGGAGAGCCTTGCAGCCACCACAGCCGGGCGAGAAAAAATCGACAACAACCAGCTTGTCTCCAGCATTCATGAGAGAGTCTACAAGGTCTTGAGCAGAAGTTATCTCCTTCATGTTGGATTGCAACCCCTTCTCCCACCATTTTTGGATGTTCCCAATTCGACCACTCTACCATTTTGCCACAGAGAGAAGAAGAAAGAAACTAATAAGCCAAACCATTCTAGCAGATAAGGGGAAACATTTAAACCTGAGATTAACCAGGAATACCACAAATAAATCCTTCTTAAATTCAAAAATTTTCAATTCTCGCCCCTGAAGCCAGTAAATAATTAGGGTTCCCATGTCTCTCCTCCCCAAATTCAATTCTCGAGATACAGCAGTAAATAAATACTGTAATCAATAGAGCTACAGCAAGATCTAATCAACAAAAAAGCAGAATAAAAAAAGTTTTAAGAAGAAAAAGAGCTTGAACGAAGCCTTACCTGAGCCCTAATCGAAGCTCGACGAAGATGCCCTCTTCTGGCGCCTCTGCCTTCATTCCCTTGAACAAGAAGCTTCTTCCCATGAAACCCACTACTAACGACACCACCACACGGAGCTGCCTGTGATCTAACGGCCTGAGTTTTCGCTTTCAAAGAAAACCCATTAACCCTGCTCCGACTCTTTCCAACGACACAGATCCGGCCGTAGCGGTGGCTGTCGTAACTGCTTGGCGACGAAGACGAGGAGGAAGAAGAAGAGTACGAAAGAGGCCAGGATGAAGAGATCAGATGCGACTTACTTAACACATCCGCCATAACTATTTTCTTCTAACCAAGAGGATGACCCAATTTCTGGACCTTTAACAATGGATTCCAAAATCTTACGCAGTAAGCAAAGCGAGTAAGCGGAGAGAACAGAGAAGGTTGAGAAGTGGGATTCGCTTGTATCGCGAAAAAGGGGATCGATTGATTACGCCCCTTTTTACTTCAGCTCTCGAAGAATTGAATTGAATTTTCGATTGTCCAAACTTCACACACAGACCAGAAGAAAAGAAAAGCGAAGAACTTTTTTTTTTTTTTTTTGTGGTTTTGATTGGCGTTTGGCCCCCCTTCGCCTTTCTGCTTTGACGCTTCTGTGAAGAGAAGAAAAAGAGGGGAGAAGGTCTTCGTGGGCCGTCAGATCAGAAATAGAGACGTGGCGAGGAAAGCATATCGGACGGCTGTGAAAAGTTTTTATCTATTTAACGGAAAACGGAAACAGCGGCAGAATTGGATAATGTTCATTGTTCAGTAGTTTTCCTTTTTCCCTTTTAGCTGATTTCTATGGTTCGCTCTTCGCTGATTGATCACGTCGTTGCTGGGGAACCGTCGGCACGTGTACAGCGCTTCGCCCCCGGTTTTCTCTGTGGCGCCTTGGATAAGTGTAGTGGATAATGATTAACTAAATATTTTCTGATTTTTTTTTTAAAAGATAAAATTAAATATGGGGATAAGGATTTGGTTCGTTCATTCTCTTTGACAAATAGGGAGGAGGACAATAGGTGGAGTTTACCATTGATATCGCATATCCGTTATACTATTTAAAATAGTTCGACTTTTACTCATATCTATATTCATATAAGAAATGGGTTGAAATTCAAATCATGTCGAGTTTCGGGTATTCTAGGTTATCCATGGGTAATAGTTTCTCTTTATAACTACAAACAATATGTTAATATTCACATGTATTCTCACGTTACGTAAGACGAAAAGTACGACAATAATTCACTAGAATGAAGAAAATTAATTTTAACAACATAATTTCATAAAAAATATTATATTTATATGCTAAATAAAAACTATGTTAGAGAAAAATATTGATTATTTCTAGACATAATACATATGCATGTGTATAATCGGGCCGGCTAGGGTTAAATAGTGAGAAAATCATGTCCACCTATTACCCACAATATTCGGGTTCGGGTTTACCTGTACCCACTAAAAATCTTTCGGGTTCGGATTTTACCTTACCCGATTAGGTCGGACTTTGGCGGATATTCACGGTTACAGATATTTTTGTCATCCCTAATGATAAATTAGGGTGTAAGTTCCATAAAATAAAATAAAAAGATAAATAAGGGTGTAAGTCGGGCTAGAAAATAGGGTTCATTTTTTCGGTTTAAATCAAAACAGAACTGTTAAGAATTTATCGGGTTTGGTTTTTTGGGATTGAATATATTTGTATATTAACGGTGAAATTGAACCAAAAATAGAGAATAAATCAAACCTGAATTTTGCGCTATTGGTTTTCAATTATTAATGATATCCATTCGGTTAACCGAACCAAATCGAACAAACACCCCTAGGTAGGGGTGGAAGTTTGGTTTGCGGGTTGCGGGTAACCCCCAAACCGCACACTTTGTGGATACCTATACCCACAATTTGTAGATAGTGGGTTGGGTCTGGGTAGCAAAATATTGATTTTTGTGATTAGTGGTTAACCACTACCCACGGCGGTTTACCCACAAACCCCACATTAACCACACTAGTTATATTTATTTCTTCAAAATACTTTGTAACCCACATTACTTATATTAGTTTGTGAAACTTGGAAGACTATGAATTAAAGCAGCTACCAAAATCAAATATACCCTTATTCTATAAAACAAAACCAAGTCAATACGCAATGTTCATGTGATATATTTTTATCAAATAAGCATTGTTTGTGTGGCATGTGTTTATTTTATAACAAAACCAAGTTCATAGATATAGTCAGATACATTAATCGATTCGTTAAAAAGGGAGAATAATCAATAAAGGTTAGTCTGATACCCAAACTCATCTCCATTTCTCCACGAACTCACGAACAACACAACATGCAACCACCTACCAACAATACAATACTATAATCGAGAGTGGAGAATAATCGATTCATTAAAAGCGGGCGCCTCCACTTATCGAGCCACTTTTGTGTTTTGCTGTTGTTGCCATCGAGGAGCGGTGACATGCAACGATGTTTGTTTGGTAAAAAGTCATTCCGCCTCTCCGTTATCGTCAAATCTCTTTCCAAATTCATCTCTTCTGAATTACACTGACTAACCTATTGTATTCGAGATTTATAATTTATTTAACCATTTATTAACTTTCTTTTATGTATGTTTTTGTGTGAGAAGATACACAACATCACTATTAATTACTATATTAGTATATTTAATGTGAAATTTTTGTGGGTATCCACAACCAACCCGCAGCGGGTAGTGGTTAACCACTACCCACTGCGGGGCGGGTTGTGGGTAGCATAATTCTATATTTGTGGGTGTGGTTACCCGCAAAATGTGGGGCGGGTAACCACATCCACCTCAATTTCCACCCCTACCCCTAGGTATAAGTAGGAAAGACAATGAGCGGATTTTTCTAAACCATTTTCATCTCATTTCCAGATATTCATATCTAAAGTCACCTCATAATCATGCTGGAGGGTTTTGCAATCTAATCCTCATACTTGAGGTTTTTGGGTTCCCGTAGATAATACTCGCCTCGCACATTCAATATTAATATACATATATCTTCAATTATAATCAATTTTATGAAAACTGAATCGAACAATAAATTTAAAAAGTTAATGGTAGTGCGATTAAAAAAAACTCTTCAAACTCTTTCTAGGGTTCAATTATTTCCTTCTCTTCCTTGATGGCAGCCGCCACTGATGGGGCCTCGCCGAGCACCGTTGGTGGAAGTTGGGCGTGGGCATATTTCTCTGGAGCTTCGAAGGACAATAGGTTTCAGTACTATGAGCTGGAGCTCGTCAATAGATCCCTTCGTATTCTCAAATCAATAATGGAGGAGGGAGTGAAGCGATTTAAGAAAAGTTTGGTTGGTCAGTTTTTGTTAGCTCCGCCGTCAATTGCAACGATCTGGTTTTGAGCAAATTGGTTGTGGGGGCGCAAAGGTAAAGAGAAAGTGTCTTGGCTTGAGGATTGTTTGATTATTTTCCTTCTGAGGATGTCTGTAGATGAGTATTTGAGAGAGGACCTTGGCATTATCGAGACAATATGGTGTGGTTGCATCTCTGGGTTTTAGGTATTCAACCTCTAGATATTGATAACTCAGTCATTCCAGTATGGGTTAAACCTTCTGGGCTGCCAGCTGAATTGTCATCGAATGAGGGTTGGGTAGAGTTGTGAGCTGAATTGGGAAGTCTCTTTGTATAGATTAACCAACAAAGCACGGGGCCAAAGTGGGTTCTACTAAGATATGTGTAGATGTGAGTGCAAAGTCAAAGCAACTTGATCAATCACCATTACTCCAGATGGAATGAAGGAGATGTTCATATTAGTGGAATGTTGTCATTTACCAATGAAGTGTGATTTTAGTGGTTTATTCGGTCATGACTATTCAATATTACAAGATGTGAATTGTATTGCTAGCACCTCAGAGACTGAGAAGGTTATCGAAACGCCTGTGGCTCTTGTTACAAGACTGAATGATATTGGGATAGATAGCCAGGTGTTTATCCGAGGAATACATTACTAGTTACGCTGAGTGCATTGCCTTCAAATGAGGAGTTCAACATTGTGGTTAATGGAGCAAAATCAGGATCACCTCAGATCTCTGCTCCTATTTATCAATCTAATTCATTTGCTGCAATTTTTGCTCGTAATTGAGTGGTTAAATTGAAAAAACCACCTGCTAAAGAAGGTCGTGAGGGTCTTCAAAGTCAGAAAGGGGTATATGTCTGGTACCCCTGACACGTTGAAGACTATTCTAGTTTGGAATACGAGGGGATTCAACTGCCCCTCGAAGCACGATTGCGTGCTAGAGTATGTTAGGAAGCAAGTATTAAAGTTCGGGTGTTGTTGGGAACAAGGGTAAAAGAAAAGAATGCTCAAAAGGTCAAGGATAAGTCTGGAGGATTTGAAAGGATGATTATAAGCAGCATCATTTGGGGAGGATATGGGTTGCATGGAAAAATGATATCAAGTTGAGAGTCTTGACAAGCGATGAAAATTTCATCATGCGTTGGTTTCACTCTAAAAAACATAACAAATTTTTTCTTACGATGGTTTATGTTTCAAATGACGAAGGCGAGAGATTGGTCATTTATGGCAGGATTAGTAAATGGGCGGTTAGAGATTTTCCTTAGGCGATAAGTGTGTGATTTTAGTGCCATTTTGAACACGATGGAGGCTTCTAATGGAATTGGTCTTGCTAGTAGTATGCTATCTTTTAGAGGATGGGTTGAAGAGATGGATTTGGTGGATCATCAAGCTTCGAGGCCTTTCTTTACTTGGTCCAACCAGCAGAAATTGGAGGAGTTTTTGGCTCCTAACTTAGTGGTTGAGTTTCTGGCCCCTCATTTTCTGATCACTGCGGGGTATTATTAAGTTGGTTATACCAGGGAATTCGTTCCCAAAACCTTTCCGATTTTTTATATGTCGATTCAACATAGTAGCTACGCGGCAATTCTTAAGAAGGCATGGTCATTTTCTTAGTGTAATATGATTTTGCAGAGGGTAAGAAAGAAACTCTATGATCTTAAGCAAGAGCTAAAGACTTAAATAGAAAAGGGTTTTCAAACATCTCTACAAGAGATCACGAAGCAGATGAATACATTAAAGAATGCCAGGTTCAGGATTTGGCAACCCCAACTAAGGATAGTTTTGAAGCAGTTAAAGCTGCTACTGTGAAGTATCAGGATCTAAAACTGGCTTACGAGAGCTTGTTTAAACAGAAGTCATGTGTATAGTGGCTTACTTTGGGTTATTCAAATACTTCTTTCTTCCATCGTACAGTGAAAATCATAAGAGATCGTGAACATATTCAAAAGGTGATTCTTGATTCTGGCAGAGAAATCACTAGTCTTGAGGAGATTGGATCAGAGGCGATGGATTTCTATAAGACATTCTATGGAGAAGAAAATAAAGATATCAATTTGATGATTGAATAAATTAGACCTTTTTCATAAAGAGACTCAATCTAGAAGTGCACCAACTTTTGTGCTAAGCAGTGTCTGAGCAAGAAATTCATGGTGCTTTGTTCTTATGGACCACGCAAAAGCTCCAAGCCCTGATGGCTGATCAGTTAACTTCAACCAGAAGAGTTGGAGGGTGATAAAAGATGAAGTATTTGTTGAGATCAAAGAGTTCTTCTACACAAACAATCTACCACAGGATATCCTAAAATCCCAAATGCAAAAAGAATGGTTGATTTCACC